GTTGAACTCCATGACGTTGGCACAGTCCCACCTCTGTAGCCCGTCAGTGTCCCTCTGGATGGAATCCCTTCCCTCCAGCGTGTCACCGCACCACATAGCTGTAGCATGTAGGTTTATTATTTTTTGAGTGAGGCAGAGAAACATATTATCCTTCTCTAATTAAGCAATTCCATTTTTGTTTGTGGAAGGAATTATTGTCAGTGATTAAAAATAGGAGGATTGTTCTTTTTAGGTAACCAGTGCAGCATTACACATGACCTAATGCATATAAATGTTTTCACATATTACCTAGAAAACCTACCCATTCTGTAGGACAGAAGTGTCTGCAGTTAATAATTTTAAATAGTCCATTTTTTGACTGGCATAACCTACAAATATGTTTCAGTATTACTCACAGCAGTTGCTGCACATCTGATGTTAACTTTGGCTTTTTAAAAAGCAGAGTGGCTAAACAGAACTTTATGTGGAGTGTTAGTTTACTATCAGGCTAACGTCTCCATATCAGCAGGGGCTTCTAAAAACAAAGCTAAGATTTTTAGCACTACTAGTGCGCTACTATGAAAATTATGCTTTCTGTAAACTAGACAGAAGTAATTTGAGAGAAATATTATTTTAAAACATGTATATGTTTTAGGTCTTTTTGATTTGTCCTAAAAAAAATCCATTCAAAAGTGTTTTTTACCAACTTCTTGTGTCTGGTGTTTATAAAGTAATGTATGTGCCACAAGTCATTAGAAAATAAGTCTTTGATATATGTGAGGAGTTATATCTTTGATTTGCAAGAACATAAACAATGGTGACTATTTAGGTGTAAAAGGCAAGCCGCATACTTTTAACGACAAACTCTGCTGTGTAGAGAAAACATAACCATTCCAAAGTTGGTGTTACAGAGTGTAATGCTTGTGCTTTCATTCAAAAAAAAAATTGTTTTTCTTTTGATAAAATGAAACAAACTCTGGAATGTGGATACTTAATATGTGTGGATACTTAATATCCAGAGCATCATATAATGCCAATTCTTGATTAAAATTAAGTGGATATAAACCAACTGTCATCTCTAAATTGTTTTGGCTTTGTATTTCTTTTTTTGTAACTACTCAAAGCTTAGTAACGTAACTACATGGACTAGAGAAAAATTAAATGGTTTGGTGTTAAAATTCCTTCTCATTCATAAAATCCTTCAAATGGAAGTAACGATATTCCATTCATTAAATTTTCTTTGCTTCAAGACAGGCGTGATCACCGATCTTGGTAGTGCAGTCTAAATCCTTGATGTTTCCTAAGTGAGAAGTGTCAAGAAAAATGCTGAAGCCCAGTATTGTAGATAGGTTTCCATGCATGATTTCTAGACTGATGCTTGTAGAAAGCAAGAATGAGTTTGAAAGTTTTACATTTGCAAATTATAAATATATGGGCATTTTCCCACTTAGTGTCTCGAAGAAGTAGTGAAGAAATCAAGCGGGATATCAGTGCACCTGATGGAGCATCTCCAGCATCTCTCATGACAATGGGTACCACCTCACCACAGCTCTCACTCTCATCTTCTCCGACAGCATCAGTCACACCTACAACCAGAAGTCGCATAAGGTAAAAACCCTTTTTTGTGGTGCTGTGAAATATATTCATTTCATAGGTATCTGTCTGTGTATGTCTAGGATACAGTGTTGGCACTGAGATTCAAGGTTCTGCTGCTACCCATACAATAGCAATCTTAAGGAATGTTTGACAGCCACAGAAAGTCTTTTCTGCAGCTCAGTATATTTTAAAAGTTAGTCCAGAAATCAGGCTTTTTAGATCTTATGAGGTCAGTACCAAAACTTTACGCTCCACTAGAAAACCAAGCAGTCATGTCACTAAATAATAGCATCATATCAGTTCAGAATTCCATGAAGTCAAATTCAGGAAATGAGCTCACATTGTGTTGAACAGATCTTTCAGAGTGGCTTGGACCCAGGGAGACTGTGTGATAAAGCTTAACTTTTGTAATCACAGGCAAAAAGCAGCATGACTCGGGCTTAATTCCAGATACTGCCACGTCTTCTAAATAACCATGAGCGGATGGGCCTGGGGTATTCACCCCGCAGGTGAAATCATAATGCATGTCTGAGTAACAAGTGGGCAGGCAATGCCTGCTCATTAGCATGATAAAAAGATAAGTCTGTGATAAATTTAAAACTCTTCCTATCTCTGGTGTTATCAGTCAAAGGACTTCAAAGTATTTAAGCCTCATGTTATGCCAGTGAAGTGTGTACTTAGCCCTGCTTCAAAGTTTGAGAAAATAGCAGGCAAAGGGTAAATGACTTTCTCAAGACCATTTAACACAGAGCTTTCTGACAAAGCTTTTGTACAGCAGAAATACTAAATCCTGGCTGTCTTCAAGGCCAGGCTGGATGAGACTTGGAGCAACCTGGTCTAGTGGAAGGTGTCCCTGCCCATGGCAGGGGGGTTGGAACTGGATGGTCTTTCAGGTCCTTTCCAATCCAAACCATTCTCTGATTTTATGTTTCGAAATCCCTAATGGTCTGAGACTTTTGAAATATGTAATAATTATAAGATTGTGAAGTTATTTACAGCTGTGGGTGCTATTGGAAATGAAATCAGCTGAGGCATGCCTCAGTGCTGCTTTCCTTTCACTTTCCTTTCCTTTCCACTTCACTTCACAGAAATTAAACCGAGTTTGGATCTGTGGGTGCTTTGCCAGTGCCGATTAATACTGTGTGTGTTAGCACCTAAATTTAGACTGAGCATATCCAGGGGGAAAAACAGAGACTAAAACACATGTATATGAACTTTGAACTGGTGATGTATAAAATTGCATTGATGGCAGCCTGCAGACTGTAGCAAATATTGTGGCTTTTCATGGTAAAATTGTACAGTTACAATTATGGTAATCGTTACTATGCTGCCCGACCGTTGACTGAACGAGAAGCACAGCAAGCAGCCGTAGCAGTGGAATCTGCAGCAGTGGGGGTGTGGTGATGAGCACAGTCTTTGGAACCAGTTGACCTAATATGCTAATGTGTAAGGTTTACATGTCAAACCATTTCTCAGTCACTGGTGAAAAAAATACAGCAGTTTGGGTTGTTGAAGTATGTTCTGCTTTAAGAACTGAAGTACAGAATTTGTTGAAGCATCATTCTGGCTGTGTGGTACCTGTGAAGTTTAGATGCAGTAACCTTTTCAGGGAATTTATTTCATTTTTAAATTACACAATTAGCAACTTCCTTGTGGTGTTAAATCTCTCAGAGATTAGCAGTTGGGTTGGAAGGCTCATACTGCTATCTGTCATGCTGAAAGGCACTTACTGTTTCCTGTTTATTGTTCTTCTGGGCATATATTTTCATGGATGTCTCAAGTGTTATCTCTTTCTAAGTAATTTTGAGATCTTGCCATCTGTATTTCAGTGAAGGCTGGCTAAGCTAATTGCAGTACATATACTTAAGATCAGTGCCCTAGAACAGTTTTGTTGTATGTTGGCACATGTTCTTTTCTTCTGCGTGTAGTGACGGATGCTGATATGTGGAACAGTCTCTGGTGTTCTGTCGGTAGCGCATGTGAAGAAATCCACATTCCCTGGATGCATTCTTTTCCCCTAGCAGGACCTGGAGAATTGCTACCTGTAAATCTGCGGCAGAGAATGCACTGCAAATACTGTGCATTTCTACATTCCACCCCTCTTTCAAGTCACCAAATGGGTTGTAAAGAACAAAGTTGTAGATTTGAGAGGGAACGTATACAGTCTATGTAATCTTTTGGGAAATACCCAAAAGGGCTAACTTAGGGTATCATCTTTGTGGATGTTGTGAGAATCTTGCTTACATCTGCATAGAACTCTTTTTAAAATGGCAGATGAGGAAATCTTTGCAGCATGGGTTCACTGACTCCTATCTTAGTTTAATTTTCCAAATGGAAATTACTAGAAATAAGAACAGTTTATGTCAACTAAGGAAGCTCTGTAATGGTGTAAAACAGTCTTTTTGTCAGAGACCATTCACTAAAGTATCTATTGAAATCCTGAATCATGTAACTAGGCCACTACAAAAGTATTAACCTCTATAATACATATTTTTAATCAAAGCACTCATTTCTAAAGCCTTGTAAATAGATGCTTGTAATGTACGACTCATGAAAAACTGGCCAACCCAGGTATGTTGATTCTTTGTTCCCCAATCTTTCCTTAAAGGAAAAATGACTGAAGAGAGGTTGACAGACTGGAAGTGAAATTAATTGATAGCTTTTATTGGTAATAGAACATTCTTATTTGAAAAAAGTGAATCATTACTGTGCCAGTATATCAAATGGCAGATAAACCTAGTTAGATCTCCCTCCTCTTTTTTTGAGAACCCCAGTTCTCAGGCAAATGTTGTGTTAATAATGGCACGCTGCTAATATGTAAACTTCTTGTTTCAAGGTGACATTTGTAATCAACCGTGAGATGCAAAAGAGATAACATCAGTTTATTCTCTTTCTAAATACAAAATAAAGTCACTTGAGTTAGCTTAATGGTTAGAGCTGGAACTTACCATGTTGTGAGTTCAGTTTCTGAACTCTCAGAAAAAAAATCATTGAGGTTGAAAGACCTAGGGAAAAAAAAGTTTAAGGGAAGAGAAGGATGATTTGCTAATGAAAGAATTATTCTGAACTAACTCTTAAGTCTCTGCAGGTATTTCTGTGTATTCTGTTTTTCACTCAGTAGTGCTGTATCCTCCTCCTTTCACTGTGACAATAATTTGTCCTTTTTTTTAAAGCTTTTAAAATATGTATTTCATTTGCAAATAGTTAGAAGCTCTGAGTTGCACTTCTGCCTTGTTCCCAGGGAAGAAAGGAAAGATCCCTTGTCTGCCCTAGCAAGAGAATATGGAGGATCCAAGAGAAATGCCTTGCTGAAGTGGTGCCAGAAAAAAACAGAAGGATATCAGGTAACTGTAGGGCTGTTGAACGTAGCATACTTGTAGCTGCTATGCATCAGAATCTGCCAATGGCATAAACCAGGCTCCTCCACAGTTGACTGCATAGATTGCAATGGCACTGGTATGTACTGTACTCTCTTCTTGGAACACATGCTACGAGTCCTAACCTAACGAACATTAATAGCCCTTTAGTCACTTTGCTCCGTGTTGATAATAGGGTTTGGTTTTTTTCTTAAGGGGGCAGCTGACCTCCTCTTCAGGCACTACAAAACAGCCTTTTACAGATTGCACTTCTCCATCTCTAACTGAAACTTTTGCAACTTAAGGTTGAAATTAATGTTTTCCACATGCAATTGGAATCCATTTCATGGATTTCAGGGATATTTGTAATAGGCAATTAGTGTGGCTTTATTTGGATCTTTCAACGTGCCCCCATTTAGTCTCTATTTATGGACAGTTTGTTTTGTGAAGGTTGCATTGTCTTGCATTTTGAACTTGGCTTTCTACTGCTGTTCCAGATTCCTTTTTTCACTTAGTCCAAATGTTATCAGAAGCCAAAAGAACTAACAAGATAACTCTCCAGAGTTCTCCTGATTACATTACTTTTTCAAAAGAATTGTGGCTTCGGCAAACTGAACCAGGATGTTAATAGTCTGACCATGATGTATTTGTTTGGTTAAGTTGTATTGAAAGTGTTTGGAGTTCCCAACACAATCCTCAGTTTAAGAACTTTACTCTTTCCATGACTTGAGTCTCACAATGCAGGAGGAAGTTGAGAGCCGCATAACAGGATGATCGCCCATCCATAGGAAAAGTCGTCTTTCAGTACAATGGACAGGATTGTGACATAAGCCCTCCCCCCTCTTCCTGTGGCACGTCTAGTACTACACTGTGCTATTCCTGAGGATAAGCTTCTTTGTGGAAAGAGCCTTTCTCTTTCCCCACACTTTAAAAAAGGCAGGATGTTCTATTTCTTTATAAATCCTCTAAAACTGAATGCAAAAATATTTTCCCATATTGTCTTGAAACGAAAGCTGAATTTGACAGCTTCCTTATCTGGTTCTGAGAAGTAATAGAAAGTATTCCTACCTTTTCACTCTGTAGTGCTGTGCACGTGCAAGAGCATGCCTTTGTTTGTGTAGACTGCTGCTTATAATTACCTGCGGTTTCTAAACATTAGGAGAAGAATAGCCTTTGAGCCTTAGAGGTCCTGGTTCAAAAACAGTAACAGGGTTTTCTGCTTGTGTTGCTACTGAGAAACCATGGCATATAGCATCTCCAGAACCAATGCATGCCTTCTCTTGAAAGGGTAAGATAATATCAGGAGGTTAGGTTAAGTTAGTTTTTGGAGAAGGATGTCTTGCTTTAGGCACACTCATTTTTCATTTCTTTGTTGTACAGAATTTGATTATTTTCAGCATCCCCTGAAATTCAGTTCTTGTTGAACACCATGTTAGTGGTGTTCTAACGTTTTAAACATCTCCAGCATTGTATTCATGGTGAATAGTGCTTATCCAGCTTTCTGTCAACTCAAGAACATTGTCAATACCAGATAAGGATTTTTTTTCAATTGAAGCTTCGCTTAGTTTAATTGTATTTTAAAACTATGTAGATTCAAAATGGACAAGCAGTAAACAGGCATCAGAATAATGAACCTCTCCCTTACTCAGTCCTACTTAAGGTACTCTAGCTCTCTTCCCCATCACCCAAATATTGACAGGGTACCTTTTCCCTCCAGCTCCTGGTATCTTATACTCTGCCACAAATCCCTTTTATCCCCAGCATTTCCCATCATTATAGCTTCTATTTTTATTCTATACCACTGTTTGCTTTTGTTTGGCTTAGCATCTGGGCAAGAGCCAGCACATGCTTTTTGGAGATGTCTGAGTCTCTGAGCTGCTGCGTGAGCCACACAGAGCAGAAAGGTCCTAAATATCCCAGCCTTTTCCTCTGTAGGAATAGTAGTAGGTCCTACCTAGTCACCAATTCCTATCCTGTTAGGAATTTAAAACAATGTTAGCTATTTAGTTAGTTACAGATATAACAGGTTAAAGGAAAAATACTTGCAAATTGAGCCTGTAACAAGTTCTAAAATGACCTGAAATAGTTAAACCATGATTTGGAAACTGGGAAAAGAAAAAGAAAGTCTTAGTGTTTCTTCAGAATAATGCTTTTGTTTATTTTGTTCTATTCATATTATATCCATTTGTTTCTATTGCAAATCTAATTATACCACCAATATTTAAGTAAAACTGAGTCCTGTAAGCCAGTAATTTTCAATTATGTCTTTGCCAGTGTGGAAAGATGCGTTTACTTCTTCATCAGCTGCCAACAGCAATCACTTTTTTAGTCTTTATTTCTCCCTCTCACGTGGGGGGTGATGTCTCTCAGCTGTAGTTTTTTATGTGTACCTAATTTTCTATAAATATTTTACTTACAACTGTCTAGAAATACTTCTTTCAGCTGTTGGTGTTTCACAGAGAAGGTGGAACCATGCACATCGAATTAAAGCCCCGTTTCTAACAGACCCTTCCTTCTCCTGGCTTTACTGTTCATTTCTGGGATTATATTTTGCACTGGATATTGGAGAATAGTTGAATTTATGGTTTATACATGGACTAATAAATAGTAATCCCACAAATAGCCAGATACAAATCTTAACTTCAAAAATTTTCTTTCAAGTGTAGTGAGTTATAGGTGAGCTGCTAGTAACTTAACATGTTAAACCCAAGGTATGATGTAGCTGATGAGCAGCAGCACAGGATTAAACGTTATTGGTCTTTGGAGGCCAGCTGTAGTTCTCGAGCTGCTTTTTATTCCGTGTGTTGAAAACGCTAAAGAAGAAGAAAAACCCAACACATCATGGTCTGTACTGTTTCACAGAGAAGGTTTCCTTTATTCACATGATATTTGTGGAGAATACAGTACTACTTAATTGCATGCTACAACTAGTGTTTGTTTTGTCTGTTGAAGTGAAATGGAAGAACAACTTTTGCTCCCCTATCCCCTCTAGGAAATTACTTTCAAGCTTTTGATTAGAAGTCTCTGTTTTAAAAGCTTAAAATATTGTGAATGCTATATTATTCAAAGAGGTGTGGTGAAGCTCTAATTTCAGCCCATTACAGTGGAAAGATTTTATTCAAAGCCCTTCACTCACCAAACTGCGCTTTCCACTTTGACAAATATATAGTTCCACGTAGCAGATTTTTTTTGAGGAATCTTAAGACTTTCTCTTTTGTGAAAGCATTATGATCAACAAGCTAAGACCTAACCATGTTAAAAAACCTGATAAATTACTTCATTGTACAGTTTTCTTGATTTATTCAAACAAATCTGTAAGGGAATAAATGAATAGATTTCTTCAAATGTAGTCGTGAAACAATATTTAACTGTGTTCCAAATCTGGTATTTTTAAAGAATACTTCAAGAAGAAAATTAGGTTAAAATAGCCAATAAAAATAAGATAAATCCTTACTGATGTAAAAAACTGCATGGCTTTTCCACTTATTCTGTTGTTGGTTTTAATGTACATACAGCCTGAATGTTGTTTGCAAGCAGAATTTCTCCTTAACGCTTAGGATTGGAGAATGGTGATCTGCAGAAGGTCACTGCAGGCAGGTTCTTAACTTTCGGCTAGAGCCTGTTCAGTCCAGGCAGTATTGCACTCACTGAGTTACTGAGTTTAATTATTCAGGGCTGAAAAGATGCCTAAGCCATGAAAGGGGAGAGTTGCTCTCTTAAGGGTTTATTTTTTTAAGCATTTAAATAAAGCAGGAGAGGGTCACCTTTAGTTTTTAGATGAACAGGCACAAAATACTCAATATTTGATCATGGGTTAGCTTTATTCAGAATCTGACATACTGCTTCAGAGAACAGTGCCAAGTGCTGCATTTTCCAGAGAGAAGAGAATCCTCCTGGCTTTCTAAAATATGTGCAGTGTCATAAAACTGTCATAAATTCCAGATATCTTCAAAGCATAAAGTAATCCCGTCCAGCTGTTATGGAGCACTTACCCTGGCTGGAGCACAGCTACTTTCATTTTGAGTGTACAACTGATAGAAGTCCAAAAAAGGATGTGAGCATGCATGTTTCATGTTAGGGAGGGGGCCAATAAACAGGATACGCACACCCCTACCCCTACTTATCTACAGCAGTATTTCAATTTATTTTCCATGTTTTGGTCAGCATTCTGAGAGATAATTCACTTCCACAAGTCTGACACCAAAAAAGCAGTTGTCACAAGATAGCTGCAATAGACTGAATGCTTTTTTAACTTTCCTTTAAGCTTTCCACACTTCCTAATTACAGATACACTGGAAGTTCTCCTTAATGTAGCCTTGTAGTACATGTCCTCTAACTCATGCAATGCTGCTTTCTTCTGAAAGACCACCTAATTTTTACCTCTTCTATAGATCAAAGCTACACGGCTTACAAAAACTTAAAAACTGACTCTCTACATGGCAGCAATGAACAATAAAAGCGCTTAGTGACTGAGCAGCGTGGTTGGGTATCAATGTATGTGTACTGCTGCTATGCCGAACGTGCCCCGAGACCAAGCCATGCTTTCATTTGTGCTCAGGTAGTAGGTGTAGAGTAACAACGCTAAAGGTAAAAGGCGGTTCAGGTTGCTTTTTTTATGAACCCGTGCTTACATACGCATGCCTTTATGAACACTAAGCTAGATCATATTCTGCTCAAAGTATTACACTGACTTTTAAAAAGGCACAAAAAGAGGATGAGACTGTGCTTATGCGAGCCGGTGTTCAGAGAATGATTGCAGGGCGTGCATGCGTTCCCTGGTGCCGTCTGCTTGATTCATCCAAGTAGGTCAGGCTGCCAAAACACTTCTCACCATGGTTTAAGCTGTGATGCTGTAGCCAAAAATTGTTGAATTAAGGAAGGACATGCTTCCTTTTTCTGCTTGGATTGGATTCTGATACAAGAAAAATGTCAACTTGTTAGACTTGATTGTGACAAAATTTAGAAGAAATTACGAAGCTGTCTGTATC